TCCCAGGTCCCCCCTGTCCCCAGTGTCCCCTTTGTCCCCTCAATGTTCCCCTTGTCCCCCCCAAACCCTCTGAGTACCCCACTTGTCCCAGTGTCCCCTGTGCCCCCCAATTCCTCTGTGTCAGACCCAGGACCCAGCGAGGTGACCCTGTCCCCTGCCCCACATTATCACCCACAGCTGAGCCCTGCGGTGCCACCATTTATTTGTAGGACCTACAAAAAAAAAGCAGAGGCAGCTGAATCTGCACAAAAGGCCCTGACTCAGCCCAAAGCAGGGGTGGGGGCTGTGCAGGGGGGCGTCAGGGTGAACAGGGGGGGGTCCCGTGGGCACCCCACGGGCAGGTTTGGGATGGTGGGGGGAACCTGGAAATCCCATCCCGGCCATGCCAGGGGCTTCTCCGGGGCAGAGGGGGACAACTTGGACATCCAACACATGGATGTGAGTGCTAATGATCAGTTAATTAATTTTATAAAGCACAAGGAGAGGGTGTCCACGGTGGGTAATGAACCACTGGGCATTTTGGATGAGCCTCATTCCCGAACCCAAAAGCAAAGGCATGGGACAGGGCAGGGGTCGGTGGCCCTTAAATGAAGTGCTGTCCATAATGAGGCTGGAAAATCCCAAAGGATGGATGGATCCACTCCCTAATCCCTGGACCAGCATCCAGCTTTTCCTGATGTTGGTGTCCCATGGATGTGATGCTCCATCCAGAGGGGATGCAGCCCCCAAGGGATTCACCTTCCAGCCAAGCGCTGCAGATCCCCCAGATCCCAAATCTTTGTTCCCTCCTGGCCTTTTTTTCCCTGCTCGTTTTTCCTCCCGTGGCCGGGAGCAGCGTCAGGCCAACACTGACATCAAGTGGCTGCCGGGATCCCTCGCTTTTCCCGGGCCTCATCCTGCCCTTCCCTGCGCCGGGAGCAGCCCCAGCACCTCCCTCCTCCTTCCCGGGAGAGGGAGCAGGCGGGTGGGGAGCGCTGCCAGCCGGGTCTCCATCCATGGCCGGCCGGGATGCATCCATCCAGCCGTGCTCCATCCGCCCGTCCCCAGCCAGGCCACCCCCGTGTCCTATCCTGTCCCCAGGAGCAGTCGATATCCCAGCGGGATCGAGCCGAGCGCCGAGCCGGGAGCGTCCACGCTCATCCCTCACCCACGGGGACCCCCCTGCCCGCGGCACCCCCGGCCCGGGCTCTGCCCCGCCGCGGGCAAGGGCAGGGTGACAAAGGCACGGCGAGGTCGTGGTGGCCCCGCCACCGCCCGATTGTCCCCGCTCCCCGCCCGAGGCCGCGGACTTTGTGCCGAGCGCGGGAGCGGCGGCGGGGACGGGGCTGGCGGAGCTGGCACGGCCCCAAATCTCTGCTCTGGACTGCAGGTAACCCCGGGGTGACACCCCCGCTGGGATTACGGCGCTGCCCCGCCGATGTCGGGTCGTGATTCCCAGGTCTGGGCTCAGCCCCGGGGGGAAATCACGGCGTTATTCGTTATTCTCTAATTTGTTATTCAGCAGGGGAAGCTGAGGCAGAGTGGCCACACAGCCCTGCTTTTTGGGGGGGATAGAGGCTGGAAAATCCCATTTTTTCCTGCTAAATCGCCGGGCTGGAAGGCCTGGAGGAGTTTTGTAACTCCCCGTCCACCTTCATCCCGGGTTCAGGGAACCCGGAGCTGAGCTCCCCTGGGAAAGCTGAAGCCCAGGGTGGGGAAAATGGGATATTGGCTACAGGTGGAGCTGGAATTAGGGGGGCAGGTGTGGGTGCTCAGCCCCTCCGCGGGAACCCACCCATGGGTGGGAAGGGGGCGGGGTGTGCTGGGACTGGATTTAACTCCCGGGAGCCGCCAAGCTCTGGCTCCGTGCTGGGAGGGCAGAGCAGGGTTGGGCTTTCTGCCCTGTAATGAGGTGTGTTGGGTCTCTGCAGACCCCCAGCCTCGGGGGTTTGTCTGGCTGAGCCCCCTGTGTGGCACATCTGTGACCCTGCCCGGTGCCAATCAGAGCGTTGGGGGCTGTGGTTCAGGATTCAGGACACGGTTTGGGGAGGGCTCAGCGCTGCTGGTGGTTGTTTATCCCCCAAGTCCGGAAACGCTCCGCTGGGAAGGAAAGGGAGGGGGGAGCTGGGGCTGTTCCCAGCACCGGAGAGGGAGGAATGCCCTTGGTTCTGCCCCAAGGCAGTCCCACATGTGTGGTGGCAGTTGTCCTTGACCCCCAGCATTGTCCCTTCCCTCCCTCTCCAGCTCCCTGCTGGCTCTGCAGTGACTGAGACCTGCTGGTGGCCTGGGACAGGAGGGACAGGCCAGTGCCAGGTCAGTGCTGTGGCTCTTGGGGTGGGGTTTGGGTGCTGCTGCCTGGCACCCTTGGGTGTCACAGGCCTGTCCTCCCAACCTTCCCATGGAGGGGACGTGTAAGGAAGCGCGTCCTTTGCCCTCCAAGTGTGGTTTTCCTGGGGATTTCCTGGCTGATGCAGGACGGGGCATGGGAAAAACATTGACTTGGAGCCTGAGGCCCTCCTGGAAAGGGGGCTGTCCTCATGCAAGGAGAGACCTGGCTTGAAAATTTGATTTGGTCCCTTTGGGTTCACCAAGATGGACCTCTTGGTTGGGATGGGGAGTGTGGGTGCAGATGGAGAGGTGAGGGTGGTCTCACTAACAGGGAGAAGGTACAGGAATCCGGGGAGCAGTTGGAGACGTGGCCATTGTCTGCCCCTTGGGGACACATCCAGCACATCCTGACTGTGCCAGCACCCTGTGAAGGGCCAGTGACACCAGCATGTCCCAGGAAGGAGGTACAGGGGAGCCCTTTGTCCCTGGGGAGGCACAAAGGACCCCAGCACTGGTGTGACCCTCTGTTGTTCCCCCAAATCAGCACCAACCTCCATCCCACCCTGGCCCTGTTTCTCTTTCATTTCTGATCCTGAAAAGCACCTTTCACCCCAAACCTGACTTGCAGGGTGCTGGGCTGCTCCAGGAGCTCCTGTAGCAGCAGCTCCTTGTCCCCACCATGTCCCCTCTGCACTGCGTGGGGAGGGTGCTCGGTATGGATGGAGGGGGAGGGCACAGAAACGAGCACTGGGGGAGATGTACAGGGGGCCATGCTCCATCCTCCAGGAGCTGAGGAGGCCTTTGAGCACTGTGACGTGGTCATCAACACCCAGGACAAGGTCTCGGATGTGTACACGCAGCTGGAGAAGCTGGGAGAGTAAGTGTGGGGGGCGTCCCACATCCCCACCGCCTGGGGATTGTCCGTGGCTGTCCATGCACAGCCCTGGTGGGATGCAGGGGGCTGGCGGTGACTCCTCCATCCCTCATCCTCGCCCTGTCCCAGGGGGAAGTTCGGGAAGGTGTACCGGCTGCAGGAAAAAGCCTCCGGTAAAATCCGGGCTGGGAAGTATTTCCGGACGCGGACGGGCAAGGAGAGGGAGGCGGCGCGGGCAGAGGTGGAGCTGATGAACCTGCTGCAGCACCCCCGCCTGGTGCAGTGCCTCGCCGCCTTCCAGGGCCCCGCAGAGCTCGTCATGGTGATGGAGTAGTGAGTGAGGGGGTGCTGGCATGGTGTGGGGGTGGTGGGGACACTGCCGGGCTCTGCCAGGGTGAGCAGCGAGGGTGGGGAGGGGTCCCTGAGCCACGGGGTGCTGATGCGGGATGGAAGGAGAACCTGCAGACCGTGGGTATAAAGGGTGGTGAGATGTACCCAGAGCATCAGCTCTCGGGGGTGGCAGACCCCAGTGGGGTCCCCAGCCCCTCGTTGTCCCCAGCGTGGCAGGGGGGGAGCTCTTCGAGCGCATCGTGGACGACGACTTCGAGCACACGGAGCCCAGCAGCGCCCAGTACGTGCGGCAGATCCTGGAGGGGCTGCAGTTCATGCACGGCAGGGCCATCGTCCACCTCGACCTGAAGCCCGAGAACATCGTCTGCGTCAGCCCCGACAGCCACCGCATCAAGATCATCGACTTTGGCCTGGCACGGAAGCTGGGTGGGCAAGATGGGGGGTCCTGGGGGTCCAGGGCAGGGATTGTCACCATCACAGGGACAGGATTTGGCCCAGAATGTCAGCCAGGGGGGTGGTGTCCTCCTGCCTTGGTGCCACCAAAGCTGGCCCTTCCTGGTGACAACAAGGTGCTCTGGGGAAACCTGTGTGTCCCCAGCCCTGCTGCTGAGGTGGAGACCCCCAAGACCCCTGTGCCTGTGGGTGCCCAGCACCCAGAGGTGCTGTAAGAGAGCACCCAGACTCATGATGGCTCCTGGAGGGTGGCAGCTCCACAGGCACAGGGGCTCATCCACTGGTGGGGGTTGGTGTGTCACTGGGCTGCTCCAGGGGGGACCCATGTCCATGTCTCCTGGGGAGGTCCCAGACAGACACCTGCCCCTCCATCTCCTCTGCAGCTCCAGACACCCCCGTGAAGGTGTTACACGGCACCCCTGAGTTCATGGCCCCAGAAGTGGTGGCCTTCGAGCCCGTGAGCTTCTCCACGGACATGTGGAGTGTTGGTGTCATCTGCTACATCCTGTGAGTGACCTCCTGGGAGCAGGCAGGTGGGGCTGGAGGGGAGGCTGAGCCGCCACTGATGCCCTGGGGCCACCTCTCCAGGCTGAGTGGGGAGTCCCCCTTCCAGGGGGACACGGACATGGAGACGCTGAGCAACATCACGGCTGCCCGGTGGGACTTCGAGGAGGAGACCTTCTCCGAGATCTCCCCCCAGGCCAAGGACTTCATCAGCCAGCTGCTGCAGAAGGACCCCCGGTAGGACCTGGGGGTGGAGTTGGGTGGGGGTTTTTTTGGGGTGCTGAGGGGGGAAGTCTTGCGTGTGGTGGGTGGGGGGGGTTGCTCTGTGCAGCCGAGGGTCTGATGGTGGAGCAGCCCCCCTGTGACCACCTGTCTGTCCCAGGCACCGGCTGTCCAGTGCAGGGGCTCTGCTGCACCCCTGGCTGCAGCACCCCCAGCCCAGCAGCTCCAAGGTGCTGTCCAAGGACAGGATCAGGCAGTTCCTGACGCGGCGCAAGTGGCAGGTACTGGGAGGGGGGGTTGATGAGGGCGTGGGATGGGGGCGGCTCTGGGTGGGGCTCAGTGTTCCCTTCTCCTCCCTGCAGAAAACAGGGAAAGCCCTGCTGGCCCTCAACAGGCTGACCCTGCTGTCCCAGAGCCTGGAGAGGAAGGTGTCAGAGGCTCAGGATGAGGAAGGTGATGGTCCCAAAACACCCCTCAACCCTCCTCCCTGCTCTGCCATCCCCACCTTGGGCTCCTGGGCAGCTTCCCCCTCCTTTGGCTCCAACCTGCCCTGGTGCCACTAAACACCCAGGCATGTTCCCACAGCGGCATTTCTGCTCCAGGACCCAAGGTTCCTGCTCATCCTCATCCTTCTGGGGCAGCCTTGGAGTGGGTGGATCCAGCTCTGGTTGTGACCCAGATCTCTCGGGATCCAGAGCTGATCCCCGTGGGTGCCTCCAGCACAGGAGGGAGGTGATGACTCCTCATCATTCCATCTGCCCCTTTCCCACAGGCCTGGGCTGCAGCCCCCAAGAGGAACAACCCTTCACAGCTCTGCCCACACAAGGTCCTGGTTCCTCAGAGCTGCTGACAGACCAAGAGCAGGAGGAGGGGGGGAGCACTGCAGCCCCAGGGGAGACAGAGAGCAGTGACAGCATGGCCGTGTCACCCTCCTCCTGGACCACCTAGAGCAGCTGAGGAGAGAGGAGCAGCTCCCAAGGTGACCCCTCCAGCCTGTGGTGGATCCAGCCCCCCTCTCCTGTGGTGAGCTCTGGGGTGCCACAGCGTCCCTGTGCTGGTGTGGGGACAGCTGTACCTGCTGTCCCTGCAAGGAGCCCGTGCTCCTGTCTCTCCATGGCCACCCAGGCTTGAACTGTCACCAATAAAGCACCAATGATCTCTGTACTCCCTGTGCTGGTCCTTTCCCCCCAAAAATCAGTGGGAGGGGTGGGAAAAAGCTGTGTCCCTGCTTTGGGAGCTGGTATCAGGCTCTTCCCCCCCTTCTCCTCTCCAGCAGTGATGTTGGGGTGGCTTTTGCAGCAGCCCTGGGTGTCCCTCGGTTGGGTCCTCCCTCATCCTCCAGGGAGGTTGGGATTGTGTCCTGAGCCCACAGAAACCAGGATGAACCCCAGGGCCTTCTGGTCTCTCCATTTCTGGGCCAACCCTGGTACCAGCAGGGCTGACAGGAGCCCAGGACCTGCTGTGGGAGCTCCATCCTCAGCCCAAGGAGGCAGCTGGGGAAGAACTGGGGGTCTGGGAGCTCTGGAGAGGATCAGCCTGGACACTGGGCTGACCAGGAACTGTCGGTGGGGTCCTGGGCTGCAGGATGTGCTGCCAGCAGATTTCAGGGGGATCCTTCCCTAATTCAGCCCCGGTGAGGCCCCCCCTGGGCTGGAGCCCCACCCCGATGAGGAATGTTGGGGAGAGCTGGGAATGAACCTCAAGAAACACCTTTTTACTGGTGATAGAGCAATGAAAAGGCCCCTCCTGTGGCAGCTGGGCTGGGGGCTGCTCACAGAGGGGCCCTGGGTGGAGGAGTCCAGCCCTGTGCCCACTGCCAGGGGGCAGCTGTGACAAATAATGCACAGCTTTCACTCTTCCTCCTCCTCTTCCTGGGCAAGGCCACCAGGGGGGAGGAGGAGGAGGAAAGTGTCATTTTTATTAAACAGAACCAATGCACCCCCCCCCTTGTGGGGGACTCCTGTCTGAGAGCTGCTGTGGGGAGGTGTCACCTCCCTGTCCCCTCGCTGTGGTGTCGACTCTCCAGCTGACAGAGCGTTATCAGCGCCCAGGCCTGACTGGAGTTTTTGTGGCTGAAGGCTGTTCCTGTTAATAATGCCCATGGCTCTGACCACGGGAAGGACAGAGGGCTGTGGGGTGGCAGATTGTCACAGGCCCTGCCTGGGGGTCTTGTCTCTTGTTGGGAACAGGAGATGGAATTTAGGAAGGGACTTAATTTGGAAACTGGTGTGTGGACCTCCTGCTGGAGAAAGAGGAGCCCTTTGGGGACCCTCTGGAGAAAAGGAGGCTCAGGGAGAACCTTCTGGCTCTGCAACTCCCTGACAGGAGGGGGGAGCTGGGGGGGGGTCGGGCTCTGCTCCCAGGGAACAGGGACAGGAGGAGAGGGAACAGCCTCAGGCTGTGCCAGGGGACACGATATCCCAATATTGGATGTTGGGAAAAACTTCTTCATGGAAAGGGCTGTCCAGCCCTGGCACAGCTGCCCAAAAAAGGGGAATCCCCACCCCTGGAGGGCTCTAAAACCCGTGTGAATGTGGCACTTGGGGACACAGGTTAGTGGTGGCCTTGGCAGTTGGACTCTGATCCTGGGGGGGCTTCTCCAACCTGAATGGTTCCATCATTCCTTGCAGGGTCCAACAGCTGGCTGAGACACCTCCTGACAGAACTCACCTGCTTCCTCTCCCTCCTGTGTTTTCAGCAGGAGATGTGGATTCTCTGCTCCGAGAGGGAGAAGGAGCTCCTTAGAAACAAACAAACAAACAAACAGAAATATTCCGTGTTCTACCCACAGCTTTTGTTTTCCCATCCCAGAGTACCAGAGGAACCCCTTCCACACACATTCACATCCTGGCTTTTGCCCGCTCTCTATCCCGTGTTTTCCTCCTTACACAGATTCCAAACCCCTCCCCTGGGAGCCCTCTGACTGTGCTCAAGCTGCAGATGATAAGCAAACACCAAGTTGCTATAATCAATCCCTTGATGAGCTATTTACCATGTGACATTACCAAAATATTTCTGGTTGGGAATGATGTTTATCTTCCTCTGTTTTCCAAACTCCTCACAGGCCCGAAAATCTGAGTCCCAGGACTCCAGACATGGAGTTTCTTGCTCTAATTCTGTATTTTATACTGTAAAAAAACCCTTGATTTACCTTCAGAAGGAGCCGATTTCCTGACAGAAGGCACATTGTTCTTCTCCTTCTGCTGCTTCCCATGGCTTAGCACGTTAAAATGTGCAATTCAGGAAGGAATGAAGAGTGGAATTATACCTGGAACTCATTACAGCCACTGAGAAATTCAGCAGCACTGAAAATAGAATTCTAATCTCAGCATCTCAGAGGCGAAGGAATTAAGATCTTGGTCCTTCCATCAAGACAGACCCTTGGACTGACCTTCACTTCAGGCACACAACTTCAGAGTAGGTCCTGAAAAGCTCAGGAATCCTCCATGGAGGGAGAAAGGATGAATGATGCCCCCTGGAGAACCTTGGGAGGTGGTTCCCACCTTATCTCAGGTACCCCCGGGGTCCAGCTCCTTGGAGGGATGTGAGGTGGGATCAGTCAGCTGTCTACACACCCTCGAGCTTCTGCAGCCCAATCCTGTAGTTCCAAGGGATCTGATAACCCTGGACTTACCCTGGGATGCACAGTGTAGGTCTGGGAATGCTTGTTTGGATGAGGGAATGTTGCCTGGGTAGCTCCAACATCAAAAAACTGTTTGTTTGCTTGTGGTTTTTTTTTTTTTGAGGACCTACAAATTCAGTGGAAAAAATAAAAAAAAAAGCCCAGAAAATACAATGTCCAGCTTGAGTGTTTTCCAGGGAGTGGAAATTAATTAAGAAAACAAACTGAAATCAGCCTTAATGTAAAAAATGTAGCCCTGGGCAGATACTGAAGACGATTATTTGAATTTGTCGTTTCTAGAACGGTTTTTTAAAGGACTTTTATTGCAGGGAGTGAAGAGCCCTGGGGTGATTTGAGTTGTCAGATAAAACCTTCATGTATCAAACACCAGAAAAGTGGTGAAAGGGAAGAAGACACGAGACTAGGAGGACCTGGTAGGGACAAGGACGTGGTGGTGACAGATGCAGGGGTGGGTCAGTGGAGAGAGAAGATGCTGCAGGAACATCAGGAACGCCTGAGTCGTGATGCTTTCACCCCTCAGCAAAGCTCCCCAGGTGAAGGGGACACCCTCACCTGGGTGTCCTCACTTCCCAAAGGTCCCAGACAGGTTCTGAGGGGTCAGGAGGCTCTTTGTGGTCTCAGGAGCTCAACAACCATCACCCCAAGGTGCAGCACCCAGGGGAAGGGCAGAGAAGAGTCATGAAGTCCCCCCAGCCAAGTGACCACAGCTGGTTTGGGTGGTCTCCAGTCTCTGGAGACATCCCTGTGCCTGGGGTTGGCATGAGGGGTGGGCAGGACACTCTCCCCACCCCACCCTGGTATCACTGCTACAAGGACTGCCCTGTCCAACCGGCACCAAACACCTCCAGCAGCCCAAAATCCAACCTCAGCTCTCCTCACAGCTCGGTTCTGTGCCCACGGGAACCAGCAGAACCCCAAATCCCCCATGGATGGAACAGCTCCCCGTGCCAAGGGGGGCACAGGCCCCGTCCTACCCAGCACAGAGGCTCGTGGGTTTTTTTTTTTTTCAGAGCCGACTCTCAGAGCCTCCACCCCCCCCGGCAGCCCTGCCCGCGGCCAGGAGATGGTACTGTTGGGCTGGTCCTGCTCCTCCCGCCCATCCCGAGCTTCGCCCGCCCCTTCTCACCTTCCCCAGCCGAGGGCAGGGAGGTGTTGTCGGCGTGGGCTCGGGGAGCTCTGGCTGCACTTGGGTTTCATCCCAAACAGGTCACCCAGAGAAGCTGTGGCTGCCCCTGGATCCCTGGAAGTGTCCAAGGCCGGGTTGGACGGGGCTTGGAGCCACCTGGGACAGTGGGAGGTGGCCCTGCCCATGGCAGGTGGGAGTGGGTGGGCTTTGAGGTCCCTCCCAACCCAAAGCATTCCATGGTTTTATGATCCTGGCATGCAGCTGGATGCTTGTGGGGGTCCCAGACATTGGGGTCCCCTCTGCCCGATGGCAGAGCCTTTCCCCAGTGTGGGACAGCTCTGGGTGCAAGCCCTGGTCCTACACATGGTCCTGGTGACATCTTCCCCACTGAATTCCCCTCTGGGAGTTCAGCATCGGGGTGGCTGTCCCCGTCCCCACCGGGCATCACGAGGCCTTCCCTTAAAAACCCGGCTCAGGGAACGAAATATTTAATGAAACGCTGAAATATTTAATGGAACAAAGACCTTTAAACCACAAAGTGGAGCTTTGGAAAACGAGAGCAACCCCAAATGTGGGTGACCCCAATTTTGGCGTTGCTGAGCTGCCCCGACCTCCCCGATGCCCACAGGGGATGCAGCGTCACTCAGGGGGAACCTCGGGAAGCGGTGGCGTGTCCCCCACCTGGAATTTGGGGTTTGCAGAGGGCGGGAGGGGGTGGCAGAACAGGTCTGGCACGTTCCCCTGGTCCCTGTGGTGCCGAGGGCCAGGTCTGACACCTCGGCGGAGCTTGGGGGACTTGGAGATGCCACGAGAGCCAGGCCAGGAGTCTGGAGCATGGGGGATCCTGGGGGTGCCGGGATCCCCTCCGGATCCATCGCCCACCCATCACTCAGCAGACGTCCCCTCACATCTGAGGTTTGGGTGAGTTCTGCCAAATCTCAAAAACAATCTCACGGGATGGCACCGAATCTCACCGAATGTTGATGAATCTCAACAAATCTCACCAAATTTCATCAAACCTCACCAAATCTCACCGAATATGGGTGAACCTCCCCAAACCCCAGTCAGTCTCACCGAATCTCAGCCACTCTCGCAGAATTCCACCAAATCTCAGTAAATGTCTCCAAAGCTCACCAAATTTCATCAGACCTCACCGAATCTTGGTGAAGCTCACCCGGCTTTGTCCCGGCCTGTGGCACAGCAGGAGCATCACGGGCTGGAAAATCCAATCAAATAAATAGTAAATAAATAATAAAATTAAATAATTAGGATGTTTCAAATAGAAGAAAAATAAAATAATAAACGGTAGGAAATCAAAGTGTAAATGAATTAATAAATTAAATGAAATGATAAATGATATAAAACAAAATAAAAATAAAGTGTATAATAGAATTGTAACAAATTGTTATAAGATAAAAGGGATGTAAAATAAAAAATGAAATGAAAAAATAAAAATAGACATTTTAAAGTAAAAAATGGTAGAATGAAATGAGACTGACGTTAAATAATGAATGGAAATGTAATAAAATAATAAATGCATAAGTTAAGAAATAAAATAAAAATTAAAGCAAAAATTAATTATATAAATGGAAAGTAAATAAAAATAAATAAAAATAAAATAAATTTTAATAAGAAAAATAAGGCAAGATAAAGTAAAATAAAGTAAGATGAAGGATTAAACTAAACTAAACTAAGGTAAAATTAAAAAAGTAAAATTTATTTTAAAAAATAATAATAAATAAAAGAAATTAAAGGAAAATTTGAAAATAATAAACAATAAAATAATGAAAAGCAATTCAAAATAATAAAGTAAAATTAAAAATTTTAAAAGAACAAAAGATAAAATAATAAGTTAATCATAATAAAATAAATAAATAAATAAATAAATAAATAAGATATTATAAAATAAATAAAGTAAAATGAGGTAAAATAAAATAAGTAAAGGTTAATTTTAAAAATATAAACAGAAGACATTAAAATAAATATTAAAATAATAAAAATTGAAATATTAAATAAAAATTAAAATATTAATAAAATAAGAAAATAGAAATAAAATAAAAATAAAATATAAAATAGAATATATAATAAAATATCTATTATAAAATGAAATAAAAATGAAATATAAAATAACATATCAAGTGAAATATCAAATGAATCTGAAATGAAGTATAGCACACAGGCGGACTAAGCCCGGCCGCAGCAGCGCCGCTGAGCTCCCTCCCCGCAGCCGGGGCAGGTGCCGGGGCCGCCTCTGGCTGCGGCCGGGGCGGGGGGGTTGGAGGGGGGGGCGGGCTGAGGCGTTTATAGCGCGATAACGCCCCGGAGAAGTTGCAAACGCCGGCGAGCGGCGGCGGGGACGGGCGAGGACGAAGCTCGGCGCGGAACCGCAGCCGCCCCGCACCGCCCGCCATGGGCAACGCGGCCGGGGGGCTGGAGGGGGGCGCGGCGGGGCGGGAGCCCCGCGATCACCGCCCGCAACCCGGGCCCCCCCCCGCCGCCGCCGCCCCGCCGCCCCCCCGCCAGCCCATGCCCGGGGCCGCCGAGCTGGAGGAGAGGTTCGGCCGCGTCCTGGTGAGCGGGGACGGGGCTTCGGAGCCCCCCTTGGGGGGAGTTCGGGGGTGCTGGGGGGGATCCGCGGTGGGGGTCCCGGACTTGCCACGGGGGACTGGCTGGAGGGGGTCCGGAGCTGCCGGGGGGGGGTCTCTGAGCATCCCTGCTTGCACTTGCATCCTTAGCATCGCTGTCACCGGCATCATCATTCTGATTACCATATTTTTACTATTATTCCATTATTCCATTAATTATTTAATTAGTGTTCTTATTAATAACGATGATTTCCCCCTCTGCCACTCCTTTCCTCCCGGGGACACTCAGCCCTGCCCCGGGATGACCCCCCCAGCCGCTCCCGTTGCTCTCACGTTTGGAGGGGGGGGTCCCAGCCCCCCAAACTCTTGGGGTGACCCCGAGTCCCCCGGACCCCGCGGAGGCTCCGCCATGGCGGGATGGGCGGCAGGGCCGGAGCGCCGCAGGCAGCCGGTGCTGCGGATGGCAGTGCTTCGCTCACCTCTTCCTCCTCCTCCTCCTCCTCCTCCTCTCTCCGCAGCCGGGGAAGCCCCCCGGCATCGCTCCGGGCCTCCCGCGGGGGACGGGGCGGGGGGAGCCGCGTTCCCATGGGATGAATGGATAGACGGATGGATAGATGGATGGATGGATGGATGGATGGATGGATGGATGGATGGATGGATGGATGGATGGATGCGTGGATGGCAGCTCCTTGGAGCACCCGGCGCTGCGGGAGATCGGCTCCCGCCCGCTCCCTCTGTCCTTGAGCGGAGCCGGCCGGCCGTGACCTTCGCGCCGGGATGGCCGCGGGGAGCCGGCCACGCTTCACCCGCGTCCCTGCCCTCCCCAGAAACGCTCCGTGGGGGGAAAAAAAAAGAAAAAAAAAATCGCTGCTTTAATCCCCTGATCCCCCTCACCTCGGGATCCCGGGAGATGGAGCCTGCTCGCCCATCCCGTGCCGGGAGCACAAGCTCCCATGGATGCAGCGGGATCTGCCCGGTGGGATCCCGCGCTGCAGCCCCGAGCTCAAATTATTTAGAAGCTTTTAAACTCAAAGCGTTTTTTTTTTTTTTGGTGGTGGGGGGGGGGGGATGATTATTTGAGGATGAGCATCTCAGCCAGAGCCCCTGGAGCTTTCCTGCCACCAGCATCGGCTCCGGGGCAGTGATGGCAAAGAGACCCCCGTGGGACCCCCGAAACCCCCAGGTGGGGGTTTGCCGTGGGACGCCCATGTCGGCGGGTGGCTGAGCAGGGTGGTGGCGCCTGTGATGGCTCCGGGTGTCACAGCAGTGGTGGCAGGAGGGGACAGGCAGCCTGGGGAACCTCGGGGTGTTTCCGCTGCCTCAGCGAGGCCCCAGGCAGCGCCACTTTCCTCCAGGCTGAGTCCAGCAGGTTGGAAATCCTAAAAAAAAGTGGTCAGAAAAGGGGAAAATGCTGCTCCAGGCCCTCGGTGCTACCCTGTCTGCCTTCATCCCGAGGGAAGGCCCTTTCCCAGGAGCAGGGGGCACCCAGGGGGCTGCAGATGGGAACCGGGTGTCTTGTGAAACCGGTTGTCCCAATCCCGCTTCCTCCTTTCACAGTGTCCCTTCCCCCTTCTCACAGCCTGGGGGGATGGGAGAGAGGGTCCCTCTGCCCTCACCCACCATGAACACGTTCCTTGACTCTGGGTTCAACTTTTCCACCTGCTGAGCTGGTGAGATCAGTGATGGAGCAGAAGGTGATGAGTTGGGAATCTCCCGGTGGGACATGATCCAGATCTGACAGGTTGCCATGGCTACAGTGATGCTTTGAGAGCTCAGGGCAAACCACTTTTGGGCTGGACATCCTGAACTGGGAGAGCTGTTGGGGCAAACCCTGGGCAGAAAAGCCAGTGGGGGAGCCCAGGCAGTCCAACATCTCCGGGAAGGGGATGGATAAATCCACCACCTGCCAAGAAATGAGGAATTTAGTTTCCCAGAACTTTATTCCCCAGAAAGTTGGCTCCTTCCCAGCTGGGGCACCGTGGCAGATGCCACTTTGGCAGAGTGATGGGAGGGTTGTCCCGTGCCAAGCGGTTTGAGATGTGCCGAGGTGGCTTTTTGGGATGGAGCGGAGGAAGAGCATCTTTGCTGCTGGGATGGGAATGCTCGGGTGCTCCTGCTTGGAGCAACCAGGATTTTTCTCCCTTTGCACGTCAAGAGGCAATACTGGGAATACAGAAGTGAGGTTGTGAGTTGGGGTGTGGTGGAGGGAAAGCCAAAATCACCTGGGAGTGTTAGGCTGGAGCCTTGGGAATGGGGGCTGATGGGGACAGGGTGTGCTCCACCCGGGAGCTTTTCCTGGTCTGGAGGCTTTGCTGCCTCTTCTCCCAGGTCCTGAGAGAGCACATGGCACACGTCACTGCTGCAGATGTTTGCAGATGTTTGCAGATGTGCTGTTGGCCTCAGGGACGGGTCACCAGCGAGCCCTGGCCGAGTGTCGGCCTCAGCTCAACCAGGAAACAAAGCTGGTGCTCGACTTCCCGCTGGATCCGCCCCCAGCCCGGTCCCGGCACGGTGTCCGAGGCTGGCTGGGTGATGTGGGGCTGTGCTGGGGTGTCCCCAAGGGGGACATGGGCCCTGCGTGGGGACAGAAGTGGCCTGTGAGCCGAGAGCTGCCGGCTCAGGGACTGGGGAGGGTGTCCTCGTGCAGGGCTCCCCCGCGTGAACCAGGAGGATCCAGCAGGGATGAGGACACGGGGGCAGGATCAGGCTCCTCTCCCCGGCCTGTGCTACAGCAGCTTCCTAAAATAGAGCCGGAGCCGCGGGCGGCAGCGGCCACCCCGTCAGCCACCCCCACAGCAGGACCGGCCGTCCTGGGGACCCGCCCGCTCCTCCTCCGGCCTGTCCCCGCCTGCCACGGGGAGGGGTTGGGACCTGGATGGATCCAGGGAGTCCCTGATGGGATGAGCTCGCCCTGGGAGCGTCACCCAGCCTGGCTTGCTGCGTGCTGCGGGTCAGGGGAGCCCTGTGTGGGCTGATCCTGCTGATCCCAGCATCCTGCTGAACCAGGATCCAGCCTGATCCCGGTGCTGAACCTCAGCAAGAGGCAGTCGGGGTCACTGGAGGGAACAACATGGGACAGCTGGCACTCCATGTCCCAAACCACCTCGGGTGGGAGCATCGTGCTCCGTGGCCACGAGGGATGGGGCATCCCCGGGATGGAGGATCCCAGGGATGCAGCATTCCAGAAAGCCCCACACAGGGGTGGGTTGAGGGTGCTGGGTGCCAGCTGGAGGGTGCTGGAGGAGGGAAGGTGCGATGTGGCTGCTGGGGGCGAGTCCCTGTGGCCTCTCCATCCTTGTCCCCCAGAGATGAAATGGAGGAGGAGGAGGAGGACTGATTCCTTTGGCCTCCCAGACACCTGGAGATGTTTGTCCTTCCTGCAGCCAGAGCCCCTAACCCACCATTTGGGGTCACTCCCTGCCCTGTGGTGGTGCCTGGACTGGGATAATCTCCCGTGCCATGTGCTGTCAAGGCTTTCTGTCCCCTTTCCATGGATGCACATCCCCTTGTGCCCCAGAAACGGTGCTGCCAGGGCTCAGCCTGGTTCTCAGGCAGGTTTTGCAGCACAAACCCTCCCGTGGAAGATGCCGGAACGTTCCGTGCCGGGGTTTGGAGCAGAGCTCTGCTCAGCCCAGCTCCGCTCACGTGTGGAACAAAAAGAAGTGTCTGACACCCAAAATAGCTCCGTCCCCCACCAGCCAGGAAAGGAAAAGGTCGTTTTGTACCAGAAGATGATGTCGGTGCTGCTTCACCTCCCCCCAGTCTTGGTTTTATTGTCAGGCAAAGCCCGGCTCAGCCCCACGGCTGTGTCAGGTCCCAGCTGGCTCAACCCGGCACCAGGCACGGCTGGGATGGCTCTGTGGGCCCTGTGGCACCTCTGTCACAGCAGGGGACATTTGAGGCACCCACTGAGTGGGCTATCAGGCTGGGGGAGGCTGAGAAACCCCACACAGGGGTGGGATGAGGGTGCTGCATGAGGGGAGGCAGGATGTGACAAGTCCCTGTGGCCTCTCCATCCTTGTCCCCCAAAGAGGAGGAGGAAGAGGAGGAGGAGGAGGAGGAGGACTGAGTCCTTCCCCTGACACCTCTGGGGTGCTCGGCTGCTGCTCTGCCCCACATCACCCCCCCTCCCCGGCAGGAAACGAGAACCGGTTTCTTTGTTTCTTTGTGCTGCTGCTGACGCTCCACAGGAGCCACTTCCTCCACCCCCCAGCACCACATGCCCACCCGGGACGCAGCCACCACCCAGTTTGTACCCAGACCGTGCCACATCCTGCCACCCCTCCCAGCCCTGCCCTCGAGGAAGGGACTGCAGGGCCTGGTGGGCAGAGTCACCTCTGCAGGAACATCCTGGGATCCCCCTGAACCCTTGTGGTGGATCCTGTCCCACTGGAGACCTGGTTTGTCCAGGTCCCACATGTGGTGACTGGAAGAGCTGGCCCATGTGGCGGGTGCCACCATCCCCTCTAAGCCGAGGGGAGTGTCCCCACAGAGGGTGTCCCCATCCACAGAGGGTGCCACAAGTGCTGATGGAGCTCTAGGTGAGGTGTTTGGGTGCATGGTCCCTCTTGGCACAGCCCTGTTCCTTGGTCTGACCCTCCTGGAGGGCCTCACCCATCCCAAGGATGGCAGCTCAGGGACCACGAGGACGGGGCTGCCCTGCAATGGGGACATCCAGGTGCTGCTGTCACCCTGCCCATCCCAGGCCCCACCTGGCTCCAGTGGCTTCCCAATGAGGCTATTTCTGACCCTGCACCCTAATTGTACCCCCTCTGCCCAGCTCCCCACGTGAGCCATCCCCTGGCCCAATCCAACTCCTCCCTCCCACGTCTCCTGGTTTTGGCTTCTTGCGAAAGCAGCTCGACAGGTCCTCGGTTGGGGGTGGGGGTGAGGTTCCCCTTCCTGCCCCGCCACCGTGGCACCTCTCATCCTGGCCCTGCTCTTCTGTGGGCAACCAACCCCCTGGGAGATGCCTTTCCCCAGGGATGTGGTTGTTCCAGGGCTGCATGCACCCCACGTCCCCGTCCTCATGGCCAGGGAACCCCCGGACTGGGGTTGAAGGTGACCTGGGGCCCCGCGGTGCCTTCACATTCCTGGGTGAGCTGGATCACCCAAAACTGGCTGTTTTGGCAAAATAAACCTCCTGGTCCAGGCCACGGTGGGACACCCCGTGGTGTCACCAGAGCGCCCCGGAGGTGGGAGCTGCCCCGGGGCCTCCCGGAGCGGTTTCGGCAGCGCCTCGTGCCGTTCCCAGAGCGGAAACCGCGTCACGTCCTGCCGGGGTGGCCGGGGGGGCTGGGGGGCTGTGGTTGTGCAACGGTGGCACGGAGGGACACCAGCCCCGTCCCTGACATCATGTCTCTCCAGAAGCACTGATTTCCCCAGACGGGCCTGTCACGCACCCGTGGCCGGGGGGCTGGATGGTGACCATCACCCTCGAGCAGGGCCCGGCCTCCTGGGCCCCTCAGTGTGTCACCAGCCTGTGTCCCCACCCCTCAGGCCGGGCACTTGGTGCATTCATGACATGGATGGACGGGGCCAATTCCTCCCCCTGTCCCTGACCCACCCTCCCCTTGGGGACCCACAGGTGGGGACGTATCCATGGGATGCTCACACTGTGGGAATGGTGCTGTTCCCATCCTTCCACCAACGTGCCTATGATTCTATCAGTGTCTCCATCCTGGGAATGGTGTTCTCATTGTCCCATCAGTGTCCCCATCCTTCCCCCAATGTCCCCATCGTCCCACCAGTGTCCCCATCGTCCCACTCCTGTCTCCATTGTCCCACCAGTGTCCCGATCTTCCCACTGGAATCCTCATGTCCCACCAGTGTCCCCATTCTCCCACCAGTGTCCCCCTCCTTCCACCAGTGTCCCCATGTCCCACAGGTGTCCCTATTGTCCCACCAGTGTCCTCATCCTCCCACCAATGTTCCCCATCATCTCACCACTGTCCCCATCGTCCCACTGGTATCCCCATGTCCCACTGGTGTCCCCATTATCCCACTGGTGTCCCCATCCTCCCCGTGCTGAGCAAGGGCAGCCGGTGCTGGGTGAGCAGTGGGTGCTGCAGCCCCCGGGGGTGTTTTTGGGGTGCCCCCCAACGCTGCCACCCTTCACCCCACAGAATTCCATGAACCTGCCCCCGGACAAGATGAAACTGCTCAACCAGTACGACAACGAGAAGAAGTGGGAGCTGATCTGTGACCAGGTGAGGTCTGGGCTCCCTGTCCCCAAGTGCCACTCCTGGCATCCGGCTGTGCACCCACCTCGTTAGTGACACGGCACCTCGTTAACCTCATTAAGCATCGATGGAGCGCAGGAGTGGGGACAGGGACACTCGTGGCTGCTGTGGGGACGGTGGCAGGTCCCAGTGGCTGGCAGGTGGCCCAGTTTCAGCCTCTCTCTGGGGTTTGTAGGAGCGTTTCCAGGTGAAAAACCCCCCGTCCGCCTACATCCAGAAGCTGAAGAGCTACGTGGACACAGGTGGCGTCAGCAGGAAGGTGAGGGGTCCCCCTTGCACCCTGACCCCCCGGTCCCCGTCCCACACTGGGCACAGGGACAGTGCCAACCGTTGTCCCCATCCCACAGTTCAAGAGGCGAGTGCAGGAGTCCACGCAGGTGCTCAGGGAGCTGGAGATTTCCTTGAGGACCAACTACATCGGGTAAGGACGAGGTGTCATTGTCACCCAGCGCTGCCACTGTCCCCAAGATGGGGTTGGACACGCTGCTGGCTCTGGATGGGTGCTGACAGCGGGATGTGGAGCCTCGTGGCCTCATCCTGTCCTCCTGGAGGGGCTCTGATGGGAGGCTGGGGGTGCTGTAGGACCTGAACCCCATGTTGGCTGTGGCACTCCCTGGGTGCCAGGAGGGACCCTGCCCCCCACCCAGGATGCCCTGACCCCTTGTGGGGCACTGGGTGGCCCATGATCCCCAGGGCCAGGCTGTCCCATTGTGGCAGCAGTGGCAGTGGTGACAGTGGTGGCAGCAGTGGCAGTGGTGGCAGTGGTGACAGTGGTGGCAGTGGTGGCAGCAGAGCCCTCGGGCTGTGCCCCCCACACATCAGGAGTGGGGTTCCCCATGGCACTCACCTGCCTGTGAGAGCTGCCAGCCCATGGTGCCACCTCATGTCCCCAGCGTGTCCCACCCTCGCTGGGCACCTCTGAGCAGGGGGTGGCTCTGCTGAGGGTCTGGGGAAGGGAGGATGAGGGGGGGGCTGGTGGAGCACACTAACCCTCTGCACCCTCCAGCTGGGTCCAGGAGTTCCTCAACGAGGAGAACAAGGGGCTGGACGTGCTGCTGCAGTACCTCGCCTTTGCCCAGTGCTCCGTCGCGTACGTGTCCCCCGCTGTCCTGTCCCCAAGGCTGGAATCATCCTTCCCTGGGGCTCAGAGGGGTTGAGGGGTCCCTGGGGGTGCTCTCCCCTGTCACTGGAGCAGTGGAGCTCTGGATGCTCCATGGCTGGGCCCCCAACGTCCCTGCGGATCCCAGAGGGGCGTCTGCCCACGCTGGGGTGCCACACCTCACCCGTCCCCGTGTCCCCACGGGCCACCAGGTACGACATGGAGAGCGCAGAGAACAGCAGCCCCGGCTCCGACAAGGGCAAGGAGCAGTCGCTGGAGGACCTGAACAAAAGCACCTCCTCGTCCCCCACGCAGGGCTCCTCCAAACCGCGGCCCCTCACTGTAAGGTAACGTGTGGTCCCGTCCCCACCTGTCCCCCTGTCCCTGTGCCGTGTCCCCTCCCCGCTCCCCGCCTCGCTGCACCCACCCCCCGCCCCCGGCCGCGCCGTGCTTGGAGAGGGGCCCGGCAGGGAGACGCAGGCCCGGCCCTAAAAATGGGTCCCCATAACACGCCCGGTGCTAAAAGTGGGTCCCCAGTGCTGGTTTAGGGGGACAAAGCCCTCGAGGGCCAAGCCCTGCCTGGAGCTGGAGCTGGGCTGGATCTGTGCCCCCCCACTGCGACCCTCGGGGGGGATGCTCTGGGTAAAACCCAGGAATAAACAAAAATCGGAGGTGCTGGAGGTTTTGAGGGGAGCAAATCGCGCCCCCCTGGTTTAAACCCGGGTCGGAGGAACGGGCCTGTGTCCCCCCAAGCCGGTCCCGGTGGCTAGTGGCTCTCGCTTGGCGCCGCTCGCCCGCAGCCCCGTCTAACCCCGCTCTTCTCTTGCACGCTGCCGGGGACGCGCTGACGGTAGGTGACGGTGACGGGGCACCGGAGGGACGGGGACACCCCACGGGACCCCGCTGCTGGTCACCCGTAGAGGGGACAGGGCCTACGGGGCATCCCCGGTGGGCGGGGGGGGTCCCGGGGATACCCCACCGCGGCCACCCCGGGAGCTGTAACGCGGCACCCCGGGGAGCGAGGGGGTCCCTCGCAGCCTGGAGCAGCTCTGGAGGAGCCGGGGTGTCCCTGCCAGCCCCAGGGACAGGTCAGGAGGGGACGTTGCACCCGCAGGGGGTCCCATCCGTTGTCCCCCCACCGCCGTGTCCCCGAGCGCGGGTGTCCCTGGGGGCGGCGCGGGAGCCCCGTTTCTCCCTCCTGTCCTGCAGGCTCTAACGCGCCTCCAGCTGCTGCCTCTCGAACCAGCACATCCACACCCTCCTCCGCCACGTCCACCCCAGCGCCCCCTGCGGTGCCCCGGGCAGCGATGGGGACAGTGCCCCCCGGTCACCCGGCAGCTCCTGCCCGCCCCGGTGAGCCTCCGAGACCACCCGTGTGCACGAGGGGGCCCCCAAAATCCACCCCGCCCCGCCGCCATCACCCCATCACCCCACCACCCCACGGCCTTCTAGACGGGCACGGAACACGGGGGTTTCTCCCGCGGGGATGCAGCCACCCGGGTCCCCTGGTGTCCCCCCCGCCCCCGCTGCCACCCCCCACTCCTCCCCCGAGCGCTGCCGCCCCCTCCCCGCTTTGCGCTGCGCCCCCGGCCCCCCCGGCCCGCGCTCAGCCGCGCTCTCCCCGCGCAGGCTGAACCCCTCGCACAGCAGGAAGACGCTGCGCAACTCCCGCCTCGTCAGCCAGAAGGACGATGTCCACGTCTGCATCATGTGCCTCCGCGCCATCATGAACTACCAGGTGCGAGTGGGCGGGATCCGCGGGGATCCCGAAAAATCCCCAGCCCCTGCGGTGCCGGCGTCGGGGCGGGGGGGGAGGTTCTTCATCCCCTCTGGTGGGGACCTGGCGTGGGGGTGTCCCAAGGTCCCAGAGCGTCCTCGGGGTGGGGACAGGAGGACACACAACCCCATTAATGCTCCTTTTTGCCCCCAAGTCTGGCTTCAGCCTGGTGATGAACCACCCAGCCTGTGTCAACGAGATCACCCTGAGCCTCAACAACAAGAACGCCAGGTAAGACCTGCCCCCTGTCCCTGTCCCTGTCCCTGTCCCTGTCCCTGTCCCTGTCCTCTCACCCAGCCCACGGCCCTGAGCCCCTCATTCCCCGTGGATCCACAGGACCAAGGCCCTGGTGCTGGAGCTCCTGGCCGCCGTCTGCCTGGTCCGAGGTGGCCACGACATCATCCTGGCTGCCTTTGACAACTTCAAGGAGGTGAGTCCCCAGCAGGGCCATCATTCCCCACGTGGGCAGCCCTGCTCTGTGTGGGTTCCTGCCTCAGTGTCCCTGTGTGTGGCAGAGCCCTGCACCATCCTGAACACTCCCATGCCTGGCTCTCCCGGGGATGCTCCAGCCCTTGGGCTCGATGTCCCCACTCCAGTGCGTGTCCCTTGGGCCAGGTCCCATCGGGGTTGGGGTGGTGCCACCGGCGGGTTCCTCGTGCCCTGCCACCCCTCTGGGCACCCCCAGCCGTGTCCCCCTGGCCCTCAGCCCCCTGCTCCCACCCCAGGTGTGCGGGGAGAAGAACCGCTTCGAGAAGCTGATGGAGTATTTCCGAAACGAGGACACCAACATCGACTTCATGGTGAGCGGCTCATGGGGCCAGTGCTGCACTGTCCCCAGGCCATCACGTCCCCAAGGGCTGCTGAGTCACCACAGTGTCCTGGGGGCTGCCAGGGTGTTGTGCTGTCCCCAGGCCACTGTGTCCCCAAGAGCTGCTGAGCCTCGGTGCTGTCCCCAGACCTTCATGTCCAAAAGAGCTTCTAAGGCCCCACACTGTCCCCAGGCCATCATATCCCAAGGTCTGCTGAGCCCCAGGTCACCATGTCCCCAAGGCCACTGCACTGTCCCCAGGCCATTGGGTCCACAAGGGTTTCTAAACCACCACGCTGTCCCCAGGCCATCGTGTCCCAAGGGCTGCTGAGCCACCGTGCTATCCCCAGGTCTTTGTGTCACCACACTGTCCCCAGACCTTTCTGTTCCTGAGGATGCCACTGTGTACCTGTGCCATAATAGCCCCATGGCCTCAGTGCTGTCCCCAGGCCTTCATGTCCCCAAGACCACCGTGCTGTCCCTGAGCCATCATTCCCCCAAGGGCTGCTGGGCCACTGGTCCTTCCCCACGTCCCCAGGGATGCAAAGCCACCTTGTCCCTGAGGGCCACCACTCCCCCATGCACCGCACCGTGTCCCCCGGGGCCGCGGTGCCACCCCCGTGCCGTGTCCCCGCAGGTGGCCTGCATGCAGTTCATCAACATCGTGGTGCACTCGGTGGAGAACATGAACTTCCGCGTGTTCCTGCAGTACGAGTTCACCCACCTGGGGCTGGACCAGTACCTGGAGGTGGGTGACCCCGAGGGTTGGGGGGTGCTGTGGGGGTGAGGGAGGGACACACCACCCCACCCCTGACGGCTGTCCCACGGCAGAGCCTGCGCCTCACCGAGAGCGACAAGCTGCAGGTGCAGATCCAAGCCTACCTGGACAACGTCTTCGACGTGGGGGCCATGCTGGAGGACTCGGAGACCAAGACGGCGGTGCTGGAGCACATGGAGGAGCTGCAGGAGCTCGTCAGCCAGGTGGGCCGTGGGCGCGTGGGCAGGAGCCGCTGACGCAAAGCCCCGAGGGAGGGACGGGGACGGCGGGGCTGAGCCGGCGGCGCCTCGTCCCCCACAGCTGAC